ACGATAAGGGTTAATTTATACATAAGACATAATGGGAGAGTTACAATAACTTCACCAGATCTCAGCAACCTCGGTGTGCAACTTTCTTTTCACCTTTGCACCAAAAATAAGCACTTCATGGCTATCTGTGGCACATCCAAATTGCAACATCGTGGTTCTACTTCAGGGCCATTATTAAGTAAACCAAAGGTTCCTGGCACACAAGCATTATGCTGGGAGAGTGGGCCAGGCACCACCCACCAGAACCCTGACTATGTTGTCCAAACTCGCTACTTGGCCCAACAGACTCATCGTTACTACCTCTAAACATCATTATGCCCTGGAGATGAGGCTGCATTGCTTTGTTGTTTGGGTTTTGTTTTGTTTGAGACAGTGTCTCTTGTTGCCCCACAGAGCCTTGAACTCCTAATCTTCTAGCCTCCACCTCCCAAGAGCTAGGTCTATTAGCCATACCTTGCCAGCCATTGCATTGGTTTTTTGCTTCTTTTCTTATCTGGTTCCCATCCACATGTCTTTAGGTTTTACGTCAACAGCCATCAAAATAACAGCTAAGACAGCTAAAACTCACTGAGTTGACAGGCTGGCCAGCTCTAAGAACTCTATATGAGATTACGCCATTTAACCTTTACAGGTCTACACAGCAGGTTCTACTGCCAGACTAACTGTACAGACGAACAAATGAAATATAAACATCTAAACCAATACACACCTGAGTACTGTCAGAGCCAAGACTCAAATCCAAGCAATCTGATGCGGCCCTTGCAGGTCTGCTCTAAAGGGTTGTGTAAGGCATATAACACAAAACTGACATTCTTTTTTGTTCTCGTTTTGTTTGTTTTGCTTTGTTTTTTGAGACAGGGTTTCTCTGTGTAAAAACTTTGACTGCTCTGAAACTCACTCTGTAGACCAGGCTGGCCTCGAACTCACAAAGATCTGGCCTCCCAAGTGTTGGGGTTAAAGGAGTACACCACCACCGACCAGCTAAAACTGACATTCTATACTGGTATCAGTCTTGCTAGCTAGTATCTAATGGCTATATAATGCATGCTACATACATAATGTAAATTTTTAACAGCTATATTTTTTTTAAAAAGTAATAAATATGTAAGTGAAATTGATATCAATATATTTCACTTTTTTCATAATGTACAAATCTCATTTCAACATGTAATCAATGTGAAAAAAAAACAAGGTATCTTTTCTAAGTCTACAAAATACAGTATATATTTTATATAAATAGTGTTATTCAATCCAGACCTAAGATGGGAAACATCTTAGATGCTCCACAGCCACATGAGACTGTGCTTAACACTCTGAACAGCACAATTTTAGCTATGGTTAAACGGACCCAACCTATGGTTAAACCTAGTTTAACCTATGGTTAAACCAACCTGGGCCTCGGTATCTCTGGCCTGACATGATGGTGAACTTGATCTCTCCATTTTCTTCCACTGTCAGGTTTAGGTCAACCTGAATCAGTGGTTGAAGCTAACAAACCTAACATTTGTTCAGCCCTTTCAGAATACCCCAGAATGTGTCTTCAAGTTCTCCAAGAAGCGTCTGTTTGAAATGCCTGCAGGGAGACACAATGACTAGTCCCCCTGGGAAAGATTGGCAAGCCACTGAAACGTTATGGCCCATCTTGTATATCAGCTTTTAAGGAGACCCCATCATGCATCCCTTTTCTGCTGCCCAGCAGTGGAACATCTGGAAGCTTCCACTCCTCACAGCTGGGCAGCCTGCTTATCCTTAAAAACCATGATTTATGAGCCCAGCAGTGGGAATTGTGGGGAAATAGTCACATCCACTAGGATAGAAAGGAAGGGGTGGCAGGTAGAGAATTAATCCATCCTTTAAACTAGAACGGAAAGAATACTCTATCAGTTTATCGAGCACTGCAACTGAGTACAGAATGGGACAGTGACTGAAGGACTGAAAATTCACCAGTGCAGTTCAAAAGAAGTTAGTGTGCATCTCTGCCATGTAAATCAGATCCACACAAATCTGGGCAGTCCTGGTTGATCAAAGTTTAGTCTTATTCAAAGTCTCAAGTCATAGGGAACTACAGCTGTGGTGTCTAAGTGCAGTCTGGGATTTCTAGATCAAGATTATAAACATTCCCTAATGGAAACTTGTTCCGGGTTTTGCTCTTATAAACAGCCTTCCCTCCATAAGAACTACAATGTATATATGAAAAGAAGGATGTAACTTTGCTATCAGAAGCATGGCATGGAGGCTCTGTACACTTTCCCTTTGTCCATGGCCTACAGGAGTTGTTGGAAAGAGCCTACTGCCAGTTCTACTCACTCTGTACTCCCAGGCAATACGAAAGCATCGACTTATCATCAAGGACCACAAGGCTGGGTATGGGTAGTTCACCCATGGGTCCTTCTAAACTCAGACCCAGGCCTCAGAATCTCAACTAGAGAGAGCCACCAAAACAGGGACAACTCCATAAAAGGCAAACAGTCCCAAATCACAAACACGCGCTGCCCTTTGCACTATCGTCCAGTGTCTTTCCATAAGAATGAAGAACGTGCACTGTGAGTTGCCAGAGGATATCTGATAGGATCTGCAAACTCCCAATGCAGACTCTAGGCCTCTTTGATTGCACAGCACACCTGCCCCAGGCACCATGATAAAGACTCTGATGCCCAGAGGTCTCCTACTTTATTGACTTTAATCTGAGTCTTAGAACTCCAGAGGTAAGGATGCCCTCTAGGCTCTAGGCAGGAGAGCAGACCAGTGGAGACACACCAGTCTGAAAAGAGACACACCTGGCTGCAAACGCTGGCGCTGGCTCTGGCTCTGTTGCAGATTTGCCTTTCATGTTGGGACGTTATCTAGCTTCCTGCCTCCATTTCCCTACCTTTAGAATTGGGAGAATCAGCATCAACCTGCTTGACTGCTTTAAGGATGCTCAGAGCAGAGCCTACAAACAGCCACAGCCACTTCTGTGCACACTGACCTGAGTTGATAGTGAGGACACCACAGAGGTGAAAGGGGAAGTGGTTGGCCTCATTCTATATACAAGACTCAACTTCCTGGACCAGGACTTAGGGGCAAGGAAAGGGAAACGGAAGTTAGCGAGTGTGATTTGCAGTGTTAAGTTCTGAATGTACTTCCTTATTCAGCAAAGGTATACTAAATTCACTTTATCCTCAGCACAGACCCAATAAGCACAGTCTGAGATTCAGAGACAAGAAAGCTGACGATGGCCAGGGCCTATTGAACTTCTGGGTGGCAACAGAAAAGAGCCAAGAGCTTGTAATCTCATTTAACTCACTGCAGGTTTCAACTTTATTTTCTAGTTTTAAAGATGGGGAAAGTGAGCCTGGAAAAGACAAGTGACTAGACCTGACCTTTGAAGGGGAAGAAGGAACATTCAGAACAACCCTGAGGGAACTGGGAGCCAGTATCTCACCCGTGATGCTCTCCTGCCTCTTAACACATGGGGACAATTACGGATACTTGGTTGTCTCTCACCATCGGAAAGATGCAGGACCCAGGCAGGACCCAGGTGTAAAAGCCCAGGCCCCAGGCCTGAAGTAATAGCCAAATGAGTTAGTCCTGGGGATAAACTGGGTCCCTCTCTGGAAGACAGGTAAGTGGTTATTTGGGCCCACAGTGTGGAATGTCAGGCAGGTGGCAGCACAGGAACTGAGCAGGCATTTTGTCCCCAAGGAAACTTCCAGAAGGACCTCCATTCAGCTACAAGTAGGTGCTCTGTTTCAAAAGGTGATCTTTTGTCCTGATGGGAGTTAACCAAGCTCAGACCTGAACAAACTAAGCTCCCTGGGAGGGAACACCTCACAGCCCCACATTCCCTACAAAAATTTGCATTTGCAGCTCTCAGGATGAGAAAGTACCATCCAGGCCCAGGGGAGAGAGCAGAGTCTGAATGAATTGAGAATCTGCCTGCCATCTTGAACCCATCTTGAGGTGAAAGTAAGCTGGAGAGCTGGTCCTGGCCTGGTCCCTTAGAGCCACTGCCCCTACTCTAAACCTCAGGTCTTCTTTAAATGCAGTGTGAAAGTGAAACACCAGGGAAGAGTGCTCAGTGGGTCAATGGCTTAATCACTTTGTAGGGCCTACCTCATTTAAATCTAAAGCTAGCTGGGTGTGGTGGTGCTTGCCTTTAACCCCGGCACTCAGAAGGTAGAGGCAGATGGATCTCTGAGATCAAGGCCAGTCTGGTCTAAAAAGGACCCAGGATAGTCAGAGCTGTTACACAGATAAACCCTGACTCACAAAAAAAAAAAAAAAAAAAAAAAAAACCTAGTTTTATCTTTTCTCCTTAGTTTTCTGTTAGACACTGGCATAGATAAGTTAATATCCTTTCCCAGTGAAGTGGTGAGAGAATGAGGTATATGCAAGAGGCTCTGTCAGCAGTGATTCCTGTAGGTTATCTATGAGGACAATCAACTGAGCAAAAAAAAAAAAAGTCCCTTCCAACTTTGCAGGAAATCCCGCACAACCCTGGAAAGGCCTTTGGCTGATGATTCCATACACAGGGTCTGTGTCCAGGATAAGTAAGATGCTCTCATCGTATCTCTGCCAAGTACACGTGAGATGCTGCTCTCTTTAGATATGGCCAATAGCACCCAGGAAAGAGCTGCTAGGAGCATGAACAAGATGCACAGGCCATACTAGGCTTAGCAGCTAGCCCATGCCAACAGTTAGGCTGAAATCAGAAGAGTCTTGAGTTCATGGCCATGCTGGACTGCATAGCTGAACAGTGCTCGGCACAGTATGAATACCCGATACCAGGAGGCTAAAGCCTTAGAGGATAACATAGACGAGTGTTAAAGACGTGGGCGCTGACCCAGGTTAGATGGCCTTCACTGGGCTTTCACACTAAAATCAACAAAACCGTAGCCACGCTGATCAACACTAGAAATGAAGGGCTGAGGAGATAGATCTCGTGTGCCTGGTTAGCATTCCCAAAGCCCTGGGTTTGATCCCCAGAACCACACACAATCAGGAGTGGTGACACATACCTTTAATCTCAGCACTTAACAAGAAGAGGAAGGATCAGAAGTCCATGGTTGTCCTTAGTTACACGGTAAGTTTGAGGCCATCTTAGAATGTATGACACCCTAGAAAAAAAAAGCAAGAGATACTGAAATGATTTTGCACTGTGAGACACTCTCAAAAGAGTGAAAGGACAGCCCACAAAATGGAAAGGCAATATCAAGAATCGAATATCTGGGGCTAAGACCAGGATGTGAAGTGAGTAAGTAGATAGATAGATAGATAGATAGATAGATAGATAGATAGATAGATAG